CTACTGGAAAGCCTCACATCAGGAATCCTTTGGAAAGCACCGCGGAGGGATTTTATGGGAAAGCCTCGCAACAGGAATCCTTCGGGAGGCGCCACAAAGGGATTTTATTGGGTTGGACAGCGCCACAAAGGGATTATATTGGAAAGCCTCACAACAGGAATCTTTTGGAAAGGCAGCACCCAGGCATCGGGCGTCTCGAGAAATCCGGACGGAGGTGCTTTGTCGTTTTCGGCCTCTCGCGGCCCTTGCCGGGCCTCGGGGCCGTCAAAGAACGGCTCGGGATGGAAAGCCGGTCCGGGGGAAGTGGTCGGGGGGTCGGGAGTTTTGAGACGGGGTCAGTGCAAACGGGGGTCAGCGAGGGCACGGGTTAGCGAGCCGCGAGGCGGCCGCGCATGTTGGTTGGCTTGGGTGTGCGAAGCCCTGCTGCATTGCAGTTTTTGGTTTCCTGTTGACCCGGGTCTGATTGACCCGGGTCTGATTGACCGGGGTTAGCAGATCCCCGACGTGGTGCTTGGGGTCCGTCGGCCCTCGGCCTGGGCCGTGTCGTAAGACAAATCACGACGGGAGATTTTTGGCCATCGCCAGGCCCTGGGACCGTCAACCGTCAAAGGACGACCCGGGATGGAAAGCCGGTCCCGGGGACAGGGTCGGGCTTTCGGGGACCGCGTATTGAACAGATCAGGACGTCGCACGTTTCGGTTGGTATCTTTTCTCAGGGTCTTCCAAGGCGGTTTCATTTTCGGCGCACGCCTGTCGTTATATAGGATTTTGGAGGGTATCGGTCGGGGAGGTCCCCTGTAGGCCAGTTGACCTCCCAAAGTCCATGATCATGAGCTCAGGCCTCAGGCCTGTTTCCTCTTAGGTTAGAATTATCGACCACACTCACTGGGAGGTTTGGCCCGGGAGGTTTCCGGGGTTCCGCGAATACGAGACATTAATGCCAATGATGGAATACATAAATTGGCATGCGTGAAAGCTGGCCTGGCGCTGTCCCGTCGGAGCTTGCGTCCGTTTTTGGCAGACAAACAGTTTTCTGACATGGACGATTCCAGATCTCATTTCGGCTTGAATCGGTGTTTCCTCATGCGGACATGCGGCGGCGTGTCATCCTCATGCTCGTTTCTGTCTGGGTTTGGCTTTTGTTTTCCACTCCTGTTTGTTCCCCGGAAAAGACGGTCTCTCCGAGGGCAACCAGAAAAGCCTCCGAGGGGAAAGATAATGACAAGCCGCGACTCCTCCGAGGGGAGCAGCAGCGCCACGAGGGGAGAAAATGCTTTGCTCGTTGCTCTCTCTGCGGTGGTGTCTCCGGGGGCACTGGGTGGTCCTGCGTCGCAGGCCACCGCCGTCCCACACCCCCCACGCCGCCCTCTAGCGTGGCCGGAGCAGGGGGTCGGCGGCCACCTGGGGGGGGGGGGGAGGGGGGCGGCTGCTCGGATAGGGGACCGACTACAAAATCAGTTTACCCCAAAATTGATGGTTTCAAAGTCGAGTGCATGAGAAATGCTACGCCGTTGTTGTAGATTCAGCGAGGAAGCAAATTCCGGGGTGAGTCAATTCTGTAGTCGCTGCCCTGCTCGAGTTGCGTTGCATCTTCGGGGGACCTCGCCTGTCCCCCAAATTAGTGTCTCTTCTTGGGCCCGACGCGGGCCCGATGCGGGCTCGACGCGGATTCGGCGTGGATTCGACGCGGGTTCGACACGGATTCGACACGGATTCGGCGCGGTTAGGGCCGCGACGGGACAGACAAGGTCCCCCGATAATGCAACACAAGAGCAGAGGTGGCCGACGATGAGAATTGGAGGAAAGCCGGGTGGGGATGGGAGCCGTTTTTTTTAAGGTCTGGGCGATCCCGGCCGCATTATGGGGTTGGATGTTCTGCTCTCTACCACCCCCCCATCGGATCATGTCGCGGTATTTCGCCCACATTTGCAAAAAGATGGTACGGATTCTTCGAGGACGTTTCCTGAGATCTCCGGCGTTGCCCCCCGCTGTGATGTGACCAGGGGGGACGTTCTTCCCCTTCGCGGGCGGGCGGTAATGGGGGATGACCTAAATGGGCTGGGAAGAAAAGGGCGCTAAAGGGTCACTTTAGGGCCCTTTTTGGAGCCATCAGGGGTTCAAAAAGGAGCCTAAAGTACCTCTTTGGGGCCCTTTTCCCCACCTCCCATTTAGATCACCCCCCAGTACCTCCCGCCCGGCCCTTCCCTCGACCAGGCCCGTTATAACGAATAAAAAGCAGGTTCTTGATTGGTGAACCCTAGAAACAGATCCAGAGAAATTCGCATCCATGGTTACACGTACTTTGGGCCAGATGCGATTGTAGGACTCGTATCTAACGGCCTTCGGCCCATGCCGCTACCGTGCCTGGGCTGTGGGTATGTAGACTATTGGATGCTCGTTGGGATCTCGTGAGAAGCCGCTCGGGGCCCCTTCGAGGCAGTTTTGAGGCCTCTTGGGGGCCGGTTCGGGGCTTCTTTTGGTCTCTTGAGGCCATTTTGGGGCCTCTGGGGGCCTCCTGGGGGCCTCTTGGGGGTCTCCTGGGACCTCTTGAGCGCCTTTTGGGGTCCTCCTGGGGGCCTCTTGGAGTGGAGGGATCGGATTTTCGGTTCGTGTTCCCCCTCTTGGGCTCCTTTTAAGGCTGCCTTGGAGCCATTTGGGGCTGTCTTTGGCGCCTTTTTGGCCTTCCTGAGGCGCTCTTAGGCCGTCTTGGGGCCCTCTTGGAGGCCTCTTGGGCCGTCTTGGGGTGATATTTGGGGCCTCTTCGGCCGTCTTGAAGTGTCGGGAAACAGAAAAGGCGAGAACGCCAAAATCATTTAAACACTTTTTTGTTGGTCGGCGGGGCGAGAGCGAACCTCTTCCGCTAAAAGCTAGGCGGGCTACGCACAGCTTTAATTAGGGAGACAGGGCACAGGAGGGCGGGGCCTCAG